AAATTGTTTTATAGGTGGCATCTTCCTCCACCAAAATTGGCCAAAATGTATCAAAATATATCACCCATCTGTTGGAAATGTACCCAAGAATATGGATCATATTGCCATGTATGGTGGAAATGTGGAAAAACCCAAGAGTTTTGGCATAAAATTCAGAGGTGGCTTGAGGAGATGACAGGGCAAAAAGTGGAATATAAACCTGAATTTTTCTTAATCGGAATCATAACAGAAAAATAGAAAAAAGGTGATCTACTTAATAATACACGTGATTACTACAGCAAGGTTAGCTTTTGCTCAAAAGTGGAAAGATAAAGAAATTTCCGATGAAGATTAAAAATAGATCTGGATTTGCGCTGAGATGGATAAATTAACTTTGGAAATAAAAGACAAAGATGAAACAGAATACTATAAAGTATGTTTTGATCTAGAACCAAAGATAGGAGGGTTGGCAAAACGGATGAGTAGAAATAGAAAATGTTGTATAAATGTATATAAAATACGTACCTTATGCCATATGTATGTATAACAAACAAGATTGTCAGGATGATCACACCACATCCAATGTTTTTAACAATTCATTCAATAAAAAATTTGTTTTTAAAAAAATGCTCCTGTGGAATAAACAGTGGAATCATCATCATGTCCTACTACAGACTCCAGGAGCCATCTGGCTGTTTGCTGTTGACACCAATGACAATCTAGAAGATCCTTTGGTCAGCTCTGATGTCCCAACACAAGGAAGACTTGTGCTGACATCCCTTCTACTTCCTTAATAAACATGTTACATTTGGTTTGCCACAAGCAAGCCAAAATTGGAACAGTTCAGAAGTGGCAATTTATAGCCTTGGTTAAAAAGGTAAATTGTGGGCAATGGCCAAAACATATTTTTTTTTGTAAGTGCAGTGAAAAGAGGAACTTCGAAACAACCCAGGAGAGAAGGTTTGGGATCTAGAAATATTTACACACAGAATACAGCAATCATTGTAGAGCCAGGAAGTCTAGTCAAAAACCAACCTATTATTTGGAGTATTTATATCAGCATAAAAAATGGATTCTGTCTACTCCAAGTTTACATTTTGTTTTCTATCTTGAGTACTGAACAAACACCACGGCAATCCTAAACTCTAATGCCTGGTCATTATGTGCACGCAGAGGTATGATTTGAGTTGCTGACCTAATGTCATGCTCTCCTAAAGATATAGATATAGATATATAAAAAACACATTAGGTTCCCGTTATGCTGCCTTAATTAAAGTTAACTACATGGTTCTCCCAGAGCCACACATAGTGGATTAAGAAGCAGGAGGAACAAGCCTATTTCAGTCCTTGTTTTCTGGAAGGACAGGGATTAAAAATAATCATTAAAAATGTGTGTGGTGACTGGAGAGTCTTTGACTTCAGCAGAATCCACATTTGATTCCAATTTGGCAATTCAGGACACAGAATTACTGACCGTTACTTCTATGGGGGTTACAATTTTTTAAAAGCTATGCAGGAATCACAGGAGAAAAGGCATGAAGTCAACCAACTTGTGACATTGCCAACACCTTAGATGGAAGCTACTTCATGGCATGTTGAACAACAATGAACATGCCCAGAAGTTCCTCCACAAACCTTCACAATTATTGCCTTCCAGCTTCCGTTCCCAAAATATCTCAGTCAAAAGGCCCAATTTGGAAGGTGCCAGGTGGGAAAAGGCATTTTTTACTGGGATCAGAAGTTTACCTATTAAAGGTGGGGGGAGTCTTATTTGTAAAAAGGATACCATGCAACAGCAGTCCAATTATTCATCAGTTGCTTCATTCAGGTTTATCTCTGGGGCTGGTACAGTGGTACCTTAGTACTCAACTGTTTTGAAACTCATCAAATTTTGTACTCAATGCATTTTGATGATAAAATTTTGTCCCAGTACTCATCATTTGTTTAGTAGTCAACACATAAGTATAATTTTTCAAGGTCAACTGCCTTGTGTCTCACTATTTTATTCTTTATGAGGAAAATTTGTCTAGTACTCATACTTTCTGGTACTCATTGCACTCTGGAAACAATTAACTATGAGTGTTAAATTGGAAACTGGGCCATGGAGGAGAAAGGGTAGAATGTAAGATGGGTTGCCGCTAAATCTATTGTATCATTGGAGGTGCTTCTTCATTAAATTTCCATCCATTTGCATGCACAAAATCAAACAATCATGATGTCTTCCTCATATTGAGATTTAAGTAGCCCATCAAGCCTCATAATATTCAAGGTCATTTAACCAAGATGTGTTTGTCTTTTCTTCTCCAAGTATCACCTTCAGTTATCATTTTTATGGTCAAAATTATAACTTTAGCTCAAGAGACAAGTTGAAAAGAGGAATCTTGAATTCTAGGTAGCTCAACTAATTATAACTGAGAATTTTCAATATTTTCAATAGTTCAATATTTTCAGTATTGCCACAGAGGAGAAAGGGAAGTATGTCTTCCTGACCAAGCATGATCAGATGCTTTCAATACATCATTTCCTTGATAAACCATTTCCAGATAGGAGGTAAAGTTAATGGAAATCCTTATCTCAAGTTGGTCCATCCATAGACACCTTCCCATCACATGTCATTTCAGGTCCTTCAAGCCAGTGTTCATGTGGAAGCAAAAAATAGTATTCTTCAACTTAATCATGACTGCAGAAAAGCCAGAGGAATCACTGAAAGCAGAAAGATTCGGGTGTGTTTGATTATTTCACAAGTTACAGAACACAGCGGTGTCTGACCACTAGGCCCACACCCTCTGGACTCCTAAACATTCATAAACACACTCACCTCTTCCTCCCATAACATCATTTATAGCATTAGAAATTCCTTCATATCCATGATAAAACATGAAAAAGATGTTGAGACTCTAGAAAGAGTGCAGAGAAGAGCAACAAAGAGGCTAAAATATACAAAAAACGGTTGTAAGAATTGGGTATGTCTCATTTAATGAAAAGAAGGACTAGTATGATATGATAGTATTGTTCCAATATTTGTAGGGCTGCCACAAAGAATAGGTCAACCTATTTTCCAAAGCCCCTGAAGGCAGGACAAGAAGTAAGGGATGGAAAGTTATCTAGGAGAGAAGCAACCTAGAACTAAGGAGAAATTTCTTGACAATGAGAACAATTAATCAGTGGAACAGCTTGCCTTCAGAAGTTGTGGATGCTCCAACACTGGAAAAGATATAGAGCCTCCTGCTTGAGCAGGGGGTTGGACTAGAAGACCTTCAAGGCCCCTTCCAACTCTGTTATTCTGTTAATACTTTACTGGAAATGCTAGCATTGATCCAGCAAATGATGGTACTTAGATAGGAAGAACGTAGATCCTTGGAGTGAATGATCATCAATCACACCCCATTCCTGGATCTAGGGACCCTGGTGAGGAGAATCGACTCCTAAACCTCTGTATAATCCACTTAGGACAGGCACTGGGGCTGCCTTCTCTCAGCTGCCTTCTGTTTCCTTTTACGCTAAGCCACTGCAACTGAAAGAAGTGGCTTTCAGGACACCCCCATAAAATACGGCAGGTCAGAATGGCAAAGGGATCAAATGAAAGCAACCTGAACCAAGCTGGAAATGAAATGTGCACACACAATAAATAAAGAGAAAGCGGGAAGTTTCCACTGTTTGTAAATTATGTACAAGTCTCCAGCTCCAGCTGTTCCCAGCATTCCAAGGACATCAGTGGAGCTAGAAAACTGGAGTTTGCCTTTAGAAGAGTGGAATAAAATGCATTCGTTTAGAAAGGAGAGGCCGAGATAGGGGCCTTATTTATTTATTTGCAAAAAGGCAAATGAATCACAGAACCTTTTCTTTTTTTTATTTTCCTTTCTTTCTTTCTCTTTCTTTCTTTCTTTCTTTCTTTCTTTCTTTCTTTCTTTCCTTCCTTCCTTCCTTCCTTCCTTCCTTCCTTCCTTCCTTCCTTCCTTCCTTCCTTC